TGTGTGTGTGTGTGTGTGTGTGTGTGCGTGTCTGCTGGAGGCCTGCTCCCAGCCACACCGTGGAGGCTTGGAGCAGGTGCCCCTCTCTGTTGATCTCTCAGGCTCCTGGCCTCCACTGCATGTTGTACTCTTCCTTGAGTTGTGGCCAGCGTGGGGTGCTGCCTGCAGGCAAGGCTTTCCTGCTCAAGGATCGCCACGGCGACCCAGGAGCAGGCACACCTGTGGGCTGCCTGCTGGTTGCACTTTCCTGCTCTGGGATCACCACCACGAGCCAGGAGCAGGTCCACATGGGGGCTGCCTGCAGGCCACCCTTTCCTGCTCTGGGATTGCCACAGCCACTCAGGAGCAGGCCCACATGGGGGCTGCCTGCGGGCTGCCCTTTCCTGCTCACCTATCGCTGGATCTCCAGGACACCCAGGGTCAGGCCCTGCCTGTGGGCACCCTTTCCTGCTCTCTAATCTCCATGGGGTCCCGGCTGAGAGCAGGGCTTAGGCAGCACATGTATGTCCCGGCTGGGGGCGGGGCTGCACACAGGGCCCGGATGGCAGCTCACGCTGTCCCGCCCTGCCTACAGTATGCAAATTAGCCATCATCTTTGTTTTTGGCTAATTTGCATATTATGCTGATTAGCCAATGGGAGGCGAAGAGAAGGTATGGTCAATTACCATCTTTGTCTATTATTAGATAGGATGCTTGCCACCATTCCTTATGGTAATATCCCTCTTGTCATTTTGATTGTCTGAAGCTCATTCTCTGGTAGATTCCTCAGGAAGGGCACATTGATAACATTGTGTGCCTTTATATTTTAAAATCATCAGTTTTGCATATAAAATCCTTGGATCACATTTTTTTCCTTGTAGTCTTAAATATATTACTTCATTTTCTTCTTGCACTTCTGTCAGAGGAGACTGATGACAATCTAATTTTCATTTCCTTTTACGTCACTTACTGTTTTTACCTACAGATCAAAGGTTTCATCTTACTTTGAAGTCCAACAACTTTATTACATTTTATCTTGATGTTGGTCACTCTGGACTGATAGTCTCAAGTACAGGGTCCCTCTTTCCATTTGTAACTTCAAATCTTTCCAATTGCAGGAAAGTTTTCTTTTTAAAAAATCTCAATAATGTCCTTTATTTTGAGGAAAGTTTTCTTGAAGTATAGTTTTTAGTTTGTTCTCTCTTTTTGGCTTTCTGCTTTAGGGACTTCTATTATGTGTGTGGCTCTCCTTTGTCTCTTTAATATCTGTCACTCCCTCTTGAATCTTATCTCTTTCTTAGTTTCTTTTTATTTTTAGTTTTTTCCTACTTTCCTGAGGCATTATCTGCTCTGTTAGTTCACTCTTATATTGCTCCTCACTGTGCTCATTCTGAAGTGATATTTTTCCTTTTACTTCTCAATCTTTCCTGAGTTGGTCACCTCGTTTCAGAGTTCATAATTCTGATTTATATTGTTCTTCTATGTCTTACATCATTTTCTCAATGCCTTTTAGCTCATTTTGAAATAAAAGATTATAAGATTTGATATGCTCTTGACATGCTTTCTTTGTCTGTAAGAATGCTATTCAATTTCTTTTACTTTTTTTATTAAAATTAAAAAATTATATTTGACCTTAATACTTTTCTGTTTCTCATTTTTACACAAAATTAGTATTACTGAACTTGTTTCAAGGTGGCTTTTCTAACTTCATGGCGATCCCACTTCTGTTATTTTCACAGTATATATATCAGTAGA